TTATTGAGAAGTTTGCAACAGTTTACCAGCAGGACGATTCAATTTGGTAGGCAATTTTTTGTTCTGCTGCTTTGCTGTAGTTTTCTGCTTTGAGGCGTTAGTCTTTGCATGTGTATGGGTAATTTCAGCGACACTGCACAAACCAAAGTATTTTCGCTAGATCAGTACAGATGAGTAGATGACACGGGAAAAGTACGCCAACAACAAAATCAATGATATCCAGTCACATAAGTTCCTCCATGCAAACAGAGATGCAGCAGTTCAAAGAAAGTTGGTTGATTGTAACTCACCAATTCCGAGAACCAAAAGATTCTGTCTCCTTTCCCAACATTTCCTGAATAACAAATATCCAAACATAAGTGTTACACTACTGTACTGGTGTCAAGTTCATTTTCGGTCCCAAGATATTAGCACTTGAATTATGAATTATACATAACACATTTCATTAACCTGTTGCCCCAAGGATTCATGACTTAGAGTCTCCCAGCTCTCGCTGTCCAAGCAAACCAATTCGACATCCCCATTATCAAAAGCAATCTGCAGCAAAGCAAAACCAGAAGCTCGTATATAGTAACTACAGCAGGAAACAGGCGAATAATGGGGCAAAGAAAAAGCCATGCAAAGATGTATTCCAAATGACCAACTTCAAGCATAAACTGCTCATAGAATCAAATGATTATTTGGAAGTAAAATACTAATGATGCCTTCATACTATTGAGTTTCAACCAAAGGAACTCTATAGAGCATGTTCAAGATCTCCAAGGATGTAATGTCTTCCGAAATTAGTACAAAGGAAGATATGATGACAAGACAATAAATCTTGTCAATCATCTCATGTATGCCATGGATCTACAATGCAGAAATATTTTGCTGTAAAAAAAATTATAATCTGAAGTATAGAATTTGATAGATATTTTCGTATTCAATTAATGCAACACTCATGGGAACGAGTGTATAAACAGTCATCAACGAAAAAGCAGAATAACATGGGGTTAGAAGTGGCAGGCATACCTTGTGAGAGTTGCTTTTAGAATTAAACCTCTCAACAGTGCCCGGATAGAAACTGTTAAAAAGGACAAAAATCAAATTACAAAACTCCAGCGTATATTTCGTCGAATATAAGAAATTTTCTACCATCCATCAGTGGGAGAGAGTAATTTAATCCGCTGCCCAATGATTGCTTCACCGTGGTTACTGATATCCTGTGACAATCATTAACTGGTATCACAGGACGATATGGGTAGGTATATAAGGATCTAGCATATATACTTATGAATTTACCTTTAAAGCAGACACTACCCTGGAGTGTTTTGCAGATGTAACGTTATTGCTTACACTTGCTCCAGCACTCTCCTTTGAACAAGTACTGTGTCTTTCTAGCTTCTTTATAGGAATTTGCGACTCAACTGTTCTCAAAGATAAGGAATTACGAGAAATATGTTCTGCCCCCTCTGCTGTTTTACACTTTTTTGAATAATCATTCTTATTTGCTCTGGAACTAGTACTTTTTTCAAGCAATCCCAAATGACCCCGCTTCCTGCTACACATCATGTTGTTCTTGCTGGCTTCGGTTGAACCAGTCATTGAAGCTTCGATTTGATTGCCCAATAATGAAGGTAAATCTCTATCCTCCGAATCAACTGCTGGGGTTTTTGCTTGACACCTCTGATCATGCTTGGAAAGAGTTCAAGTTGGCAGAAACAGGATCAGAAAAAGGAAAGCTCGTATAGATTAATTTACGCAGGTAAAATGGAAAAAGGACAGTAAAAAGTTGTAATGTGGACATACCAGGGAGATTTGTGATTGGAATATATGAACTACTCTTTCAACGAAACTTTGTTCCAAAGCATTTCGGGTATGAGGCTTGGCCTTATTCTGCAGAGTACATTCCCGGAATCATAAAATGTTAGTTAATGCCACAAGTCGAGAAATATTTACACAATGCGGGACTTACCTGGTTATCTGACATGCTAGTTGGGCTTAATTTGTACAACGATGATGGTAGCAAAATTGATCGTGGAGCTTGTGGAGAAGTGACAGCAGTACAATTTAATGTGTTGACAGCTGAGTAACCAATATCAGCTAGAATATGCAGCCTCTGCAGTTCAAAGCAAAATAGTATTAAGCCTACAAATGGTACAGAAGCATCTGTGTCATTCAGTGCTATCACGCCACACTTACAGGAGTTTTAGAAGCTTTCACAGCATCCTCAGCTCTTTTCATTGCACGGAAGATACAAAGCAAGAAAGGGACAATTTCCTTGTTACTAAGTAGCACCTGTAAGACCGATAAAAGAGGGCTGCCAAAGGGAAGAAGTAAGAACAAAATTTCAAATAGAAACCAATTACCAACAATAATAGGAACTTAACAATTACCCGCAAAATCGAGCGTAAACATGCTCATCCCTGCAGTCTTCTGAAGGGAACTCTGGGTCATGTGCAAGAACATGAATCAGGAACACTATCATGTAAGCTGGACAATCAGTGAGTGATTCCCTTTGATCTATCTCCCGATATGCCCGAGCTTGTCTTGTAGCATTTCTGATGAATTCATTGATGTATCTAAATGACTGAGCATAAAGACAAGAAAATTCTCAGAGAACCTACGTGGTTATTACAATCAAAATATTCCCTTCTTAGAGTGAGGAGTACAAGCAAGTTACATGATTTTGCAGATCTCTGCATGGACCAGACGCGGAAAAAGAAAAAGCACATGCATATCTACTGGGTATCATATGTTCCGTCAATAGCTTGTGCAATTTGGTGAGAAAAGTCCTGGTAATAAAGGCGTTGGATTCCTGGCAGAAGACAAAGGTAAACAGTCAGAAAGACAATCAAGTCCCCCATAAATTCACCCAATAAATCCAAATTTCTAAGCACAGTATCCAGTACAGGAAACCAAAAGAAGCAATTATAAGCCAAACTGCCCTCACTACCATTAGATGGTTAACATTACTAAAACACCCTTTTCTTCAGGAAAAATTAAACACCCAAGCCCATTCCATTAGAGCTACTATGTATATTTCATATATGCAAGGATATATACTCTTATAAGTTACAAAATGCAGGATGCAGTACGTGGCCACTGTAACAGTCAACTCGTGACTTGCCATCACTTTAACCAAAAACTTGAAAAACAAGCAGTTGAAATTATCATGTTCAATAATGTTTAGAAAATTGTTTGGTTGTTGTACAGGATGGAAATCACTCTACCTTTCCCATCAAGATGGTAAGACGGAAAAGTTCAGGAGAAATATGAAGGTCCCATTTCCTTGAAAGCAATAGAACAGCTCTAGCAGCAGCCAGTCTAACATTAGCCCCCGTGTCAGTGCTACAAATTTCAAGAGCAAATTAGTACCTTCGATCATATGAGAGTCAACAAGGATCAGGAATGTGCCAAGAGAACTGATAATGGAATTGTGAAAGCTCATAAAACTTGCTGCTTCGTGTTAAGAGCCAGTATGACATGAATGATTTGCATAACTATCCAAAAGAATATACCATGATTTGATGCCATCGAATCCTTGTGATTTTAGTGTTTTCTTCAAAATGTTCAACAAGTCATCGATTTTCCTTACGACTTGACCATGACGAGGCAAGAAACTTTTCACGAGTGTTTTGAGCCCATATATCTGTCAAGCAGAACAAGTCAAAACTGAACACACATGTAAGCGATATTTGAGAACTTTGTTGCACTTATCCCGAATTAAAAATTTTAAAATCTCAAGGGTTACATTCCAATCCTTGCCTAGCTAATAAACGAATCATTCTTAACGATAATGTAATTCTTCCTAAGTACTCATATAACTGGAACATGTTGAGCAGAAGCAATTACCAATAGCCCACTTGTTTCGCTTAGTAATTGAATGGTGAAGAACTAAACTTTCTCAGCAACTAATAAACAAAAAGCAATAGTGTTTCTTTATCCACCACAACTTGCCTTTAGCTTGCAAGAGTCACAGGAACCAGAAGACTGATCACAAGGAGGCTGACTGTCAGATGGTTCTGCCTATGAATATTACCATCAACAATTAGAAAAATAAAAGAAAATAAAGAACTAGCTGGATATCTCCTAACACTTTTGAAGAATAGCACGTCATGCCACTTACTTGGAAAACCTGGTATACGTAGCTGCTTATATCTTCATATATATTGTCAAATGCCGAAACAGAATATTGTCCAACACACGCCAAAGATTGCAAAGTTGTTGGAATGTTCCGCCCACCCAGCAAAGAATCTATGAGCATCTAATAAAAGGAAAGCTAAACAATCAATGGCAACACTCAATTTTCTCTGAAAAGGAAAACTATCACAAATTAAAAAGGAGTACTGTGTAAGATATGTGCGTAGAACTGACTGTCTAATAGATCAAAGTGATGCTCTCTACAATCGCTGTCACATCATCACATAAAAAAATCCACTTAAGTCAAGAGCTAGCAAGGTTCCGGAGAACATAAAGTTATATGCTAAGGATCTTCCCAGAGCTAGTTACATAACATTCAGATAAATGCCTTCAGTCTATGAAAACCATATGTGAACAAGTAAATGTGGATTAAAACAAAAAAAAACACAAATTAAGGTTAACCTCGCATAACTCGGAAAAGACAAATTTGTCAGATGATCCAGCCAATGAAGCGATGGCAGAAACAGCATATTTTGCCTGAGAACGAGTACCCTCCAGACACATCTTCTCCAGAACAGGGTAATAGTCACTGCAAAGCCAACCCAATGTAAAGTACGTCCAGATCTCACTAACCCATAGAAAGGATATTAGTTGTCTAGGTTTGCTATTACATAACCCATATTTAAGAAGGAAGAATATCTCAAACGAACTCAGAGCATCTAATAAAATGTAATTACTATTTAACAATTAGACAACAGGCAGAATAGTTAAAGCCTAACAGCTTGCTAAGTTATGATAACTTAACCTAAACCCATTGTAATGTGTAATTCAAATAGTGTTGAAGAGATTACCCGAAGTTGACAGAAATATAAGGAGCTGCCTTTGATAAAGCCTCAGTTAGCTTGTCAGCAACATAATCATTCTCCTTTAGCAGCTTCAGAAACTGTTCTTCTGAACCTCTCAGGTAAGAAGGGAACATGTTGAGGATGACCTAATAAAGGAAATCAGTAACTGTATCTCATTTGCATATTCGAAGTAGATGTACGCCTAATACAAATGTATACTTAAGAGCGCTGATATACCGAAAAGAAAAGTTTAAATTTTATTGAACAATACAACAGAACACCTAAAATGAACACAAGACAGATATCAATTGGAACAAAATCACTTAGATATAAGGATAATAATAAGAGGGTGCCAGTATGTCTCCCAATATATGTTCTTACCAGAAGAAGCTTGATGGAAGGAGCCTTTAATTGCGTGTTAATAGAGCTGCTGCTACAAAGCTCATTCAGAAGATACTGGACATGCTCTGAGCTAAAAATAGTAGGCGAGCATTTTGTAGAAAGTACACGCAGGAACTCGAAAAGATGATGTTTGGTACCAATCGTCTTGAGAAACTTCTCCTGAAAAATAGAAACAAAGAACAACAAAGATAAAATTATCACCTCTCTAATACTGGTGAAGTTGAATATATCCAATATGCACATTAAAGGGTCTATTTATTTTCTTCATTCAGAATCCCAATGCATTTCCTGTAAAATACTCTTGCTCATACTGTATTCATACTCTTGTAGATGTTTCAGAGAAAACATTATGAATTGTGAAGACTTGAACATAATTACACGTTAATAAATAATTTATTATGCTCTGAAAAGTTTGGACTTACTCTAATACTCTGGGCCTTTGTGGATCTCAGTTCATCCAGCAGTAGAGTTAAGGAATCAAATATTGACGTGTCTCTCGTTTGGTCTAATTTGTGAAAGAAATCTTCTGCCTTGGAGGCATCTGGAAAGCAAGCTGAAAGCTTTACGAAATAGCTCTTGTGTTTTCTTTGCACTTCTTCTACATTCTTATCCTGAAGCAAGCATCAGATAAAAATCATAAAATGAGCAATGTAAGGTTTGCGAAGTCCCAGGATATGTGAGACATCAAAACTTAAGAGAAAAAAAGTAAGTAAATCATACCTTAGCTTCCCCCCAGAGGGTCAGGCAATTTCGCAATTCATTTTGCAACCTGGAAACATGCTGGGTGAATAACAAGAAAGCCTTTCAACCTATATTTGATGGTGAAGTTTTTATGTCTACCTTCTTTTCTGAGATAAAATGGAATTGAGTGACTTCAAGTGAATATGGTTCATAACGGCAAAACATTGAACCCAGTGCCGCATCCTCTCCTCAACTGGAAGAAGGTGAGGAAAAAGATCATCGGAGAGCACAAGTTCCATATTTTGGGACCTAAGTGATTCATAGAAATATATTAGTTTGTCAGAAATTGGTCTTTATTAAACAATTCAAGGATAGTTGGTAAGTTATGCTACCTGAATTCTTCAGAATCTTTATCGCTGCAAAGCAGCAAGATTTTGCATGGGATTTGCTCAAAATGATCATTTATTGTCATGTATCCTTGTGAACACTTGTCACAATAATCTTGATATACTTCTGTCAGCTTCTGCAGGGCTTTCTTCCTAACACATATCTTTTCCAAACAAAAGCACAATATGAAATAAGGTGGTGAGTAATCTGGAAAACAATAGCCCCTTAGTAACGCTTCAAATACTTCAACCTCAAATACCTTCTTATCTCGAAGTCTCTCATTGGCTTCAGAAATCAGATTCGAAGGAACATACTTCATATTAAACTTCATGATATCACAAGCAACAACCAGAGCCTGTGTTCTAACCCTATCATCAAAATCTAATAGGCGTTCTTGGATAGCAGCTGACACATAAAAAGGCCAATAAAGGATAAGCAGAAATGAAGAACTAACGAACAAAATAAGAGAAAGCAGCTTTATGAATATTACTGAGAACTCCAGATGCTTTATTTCCGGATGGATTCGCCACGTAACACTGTTTGCCACATTTCAATGCAGCCATTCTGACTTCTGCAGATTTATCTGAGAATCTTCTTAAGAACTCTGCAAAAAGATCTTGATATATCCCTCCGAAACAGTGCTTAGGCTGTGCAAAAATCCTTCCAGCTAAGTTAAGGGCTTTTATTCGCACATCGACCTGATCAGTCTGCAGAAGAGAAAATAACAGCCCTGCTGAGTAGTGAAAAAACAAACAGGAATATAAACACTAATTTTTAAACAAAGCAGTCTATATCTTCGTAAATTACACAATGTAACCAATTTCATAAAAAAATTAGATCATATGTGTATTAATATACAAGTGTATAATAGATACCAGTAGTTCTTGGGTCAAGTTCGGGATAACTGCTAGCAGTATCTGGGGAGCATTTAAGGAGATCATAAATACGATTTCGTGATAAGAATGTTTGAGATTGCTCTGGATGGAATCTTTCTCCCTAAAACAGGATGTTAAAAAGCTGCAAATTAACGGCTCAAGCGTGTCGGTGCAGTTCTCAATTAAGGAACTGGCAAGGTTATTAGCAGCAGATGTTGCATCCTGTAACAAACGAGAAAAAAGTAAATAAAATCATCTAATAATTATGCAAATCATAATCAATAGAAGATTAATCTCCGTACATCCATACCTTTCCCTCCTTCACAAGATTTTCCAGAATAATATTCACAAGTGACGAACTTGTCTCTTCCTTCAGAATATCAATCATTATAGTTAAAATGTCATTAAATAAACTTTGTTGTGTTTGCTGCGTGTTAGCCTTTTGCTGCTGCGTTTTAGCTTTTTTCTGGTTAATTAAACTTTGTTGATGGTGTTCTCTGAAAAGACAAGTGAAAAAAAATCCTTGTTAATGCAGTTCAATATTACCAACAAATATCAGAGTAGCTGTGAAATCACTAACAGAAAATTGCTTCATCACTTACCTTACTACAGAGAAAAATATGTTAAACATCTCATGAATTAAATCATGGCATTCCACATCCAGCATTACCAGACAACATTTACATCGAGAGACTGTCTCCAATATTTTCGCCCTCTTCGAGAAATAAGGACTTCCAGTATCAGACAACTCAGAAAACTCAGCAAGAAAGAGATTGAAGATATCCTGAAATTGGGTAGTGACATGTTAGAATAACCCAATAAGCGTGACCTCATACACACAAATGCAAATGTCTACTCAAACAAGAACCATAAATGAGAATCCACTTGAAGAAAACATAGCAGAAACATGTTTATACATACCCTGAGATACTTGTCTTCAAACGGTGGCTCAGGTGCCAAAATCCGAAAAATCTCAGTGACACAAACAGTGACCAAAAGACTCACGTCATTGTCACGGTTTTTAAGAAGGCCATGCTTTACAATGGATTTATTCAGAGGTTTTAACTCAGCTTCTAGCAGTTTCAGAGCTTTCTTCTTGTTCGCAGTTTCAGTGACTATAGGCTGCTCGATTTGTGAAAGAGCAGTAGCGACTTCCTGCAAAGTTACAGATATAAGTGTAAGCAAACAAACTAATACAGATCTGATCAGCGATTAGCTTACAGATTACGGTATCAAATACACAAAGCTACCGCGAAACCCTTGAGACACATAATCGTCATAGATTAGGTTTTCTCGCATCAAACCCAGTAACCAAAAACCCACTCAAATCCAAGTCGATTTTCAAGGAATCGAGCTATTTCGGAGCGAAAAAAAAAGTTGTAGACAGTGAAGAAATCAAACCCAAAAGTGATAAAATCGATTTAATCAAAAACAAACAAAAACCCAGTTCTTATTTATCAAGTTCGAAGTTAGTTATTTCATCGGAATAAGCTACAGAAGAACTTACCCGTAGCGATTTGATCAGTGAATCCTTGTTGGGACGAGATAGTTGAAGCAAACGAGAACCCAGTTCGGAAACAACCTTCGTCGGAGTTTTCTCCATTTCCGATCACCGTTGGTTGAAATCGAAATCGAAATGGAAACGAAACGGGGGG